TGGTGTCTGTGTGTTTGTGGTGTGTGTGTGTGTGTGTGTGTATGTATGTGGTGTGTGTGTGTTTGTGGTGTGTGTGTGTGTGTGTATGTATGTGGTGTGTGTGTGTGTTTGTTTGTGGTGTGTGTGAAATTGATTTAATTTCTGAGTGAAAATTGTTTCTACACCAGTTGTTTTTTTTTGTAAGATTTATTTAATTTCTAAGTGAACACTGTTTCTTCGCCCATTTTTTTGGTGAATTTTATTGAATTTTTGAGTGAAAACTCTTTCGACACCAATTTTGTTTTCCCGTGTTGGAACCCTGACATTGGTATCGGCTTTTAAAAACACATATTGGTCGCTAGTGTTGGTCACATTGCATGTCAGTAAAGAACACTGTTGACATTTCTTGGTGGGTTTGTTCACAGGAATTCACAGAAGTATGAAAGAGTCCAGCCGTGTAAAGTAGAAGTGGACAAGTGGAAGACATGCCGCTGCCGCTGCCGCCGGACCCCCGAGGGCCCCTGTGGAGTTTGCAAACACAGACATGTGGGTCTTTAGTGAAGCTCCAGTCTGTCAGGTCTGTCTTGAGGTGCTGTGTGTCTTTACTGCCGCCACCTCCGAAGAGAATATCATCAAGGCTTAGAGTCCCAGGTTTTTCTAAAATGTTATTAATCACATAGACGGGGGAAGAGCCCCAGCGTCATAATTCATCTGTACCGCACGCCATAACCATAAAAAATAAGGATATACATGATTTAGGAAATAAAAAATAGTATACATGAGGATACAATTTCCCCAGAGGGCCGTTCTCTATCCTGCATCAGACAGATGGGATGTCGATCTTTCGTGGTCGTTCCTCTCCGCGCCACCAGGTTCAGGAACACCGCTTTGAGCTCTGAGGAAGTGAACGCACAATAGAGGGAAGTCACCGCGTGCTCGGGACGCTGGGATATCATCAGAACACTGTGATTACTGCGGGACTAAACCTACCTAATGGGATCCCCCATTGCTCCTGTTGGTGTCATTTTGAAGAAAGAACCTGCAGGACAGAGAGAAATTTTTTATATCATCAGTTATTATTATTAATATTATTCTCGTCATCATTTACTCACCTTCATGTCGCTCAAAAAAAAAACAAAAAAAACCATACAGGTTTGAAACAACATTGGTCTGATTGAAGTAAAGCAGCTTGCACCCAAGATGCAGATCGTTTATTAATATAAAATATTCTATTTTCCCATTTATTTTACATCTGGTAATTTTAAAAAAAAGTCTTTGTTAAAGAGTAAACAACCCATGAACCAAACCAACCAACTACGAGGTGAATCACATCATTGCAAACTCTGATTTGAAGTAAAAAAGTATTTAAAAATCGAATTAAACAAGACTGTGTCATTAATGGCTTTAATGCGAGTGACAAAAAAATAAAAAACCATGGCGAAATATAAAACTGATTTAAAGATGTTATGTATAAATAAACAATATATTTGCCATTTTTTGTAATTTATATATATATACTATTTTGTAATTTATATGCGCACATTTTTGGCGCAATTGGTTTGTGGTGATTCTCTGATTGGTTGAGATTATTTTGCAGAATCATGGGAAATTGAGTTTTTCACCAGGAAATCTGCTGTTTAAAACAATAATTTAAAAAAATAAGTTGAAATAATCCGGGCTGATGGCTTCAACAAAGAACTAAAGAATAGGCAAATAGAACAAAATTTTAATTTGCTGGAAATGTGCTCACCCCTCAAGCCATCCAAGATGTAGATGAGTTTGTTTCTTTCATATTTGAAGAAATTTAGCATTACATCACTTACAAACACACAGCTTTTGTCTTCTCCAGACGTTAACTGATGGACTGGAGTGCTGTGGATTACTTGTGGATTATTGTGATGTTTTTATCAGCTCTCATTCTGACGGCACCCATTCACTGCAGAGCATCCATTGCTGAGACACTGATGCAATGCTACATTTCTCCAAATCTGACGAACTCCTCTACATCTTGGATGGCCTGAGGGTGAGTCAGTTTTCAGCAAATGTTTATTTTTGGGTGAACTATTGCTTTAACAGCCTCATAGCTCACAGTATGTCTCTAATAAGTTATCATCAATGGAGAAAATGAATGGAGTCTTCTGGAACCCCACTGTTCCACTCAATTACAAAAAACATCACATTTTTGAGATGCATGCATAACGTCTCATAAATTAAAGGTCATAATCTCTGCTCTGAAGCAACAGTCATCCTCCCACATTCCTGCTGAGTCAGACAGACATCAGACGATACACTCAATGCAAGCCTGCAAAATGCACCAAAGACAAATGCAACCATGCACCAACAACAATGCAGCATATGCATTTCTTTTCTAAAGCAAACACACATGCTTGCATTCGCTGGCTAGGCACCTGCCTCCCATTGCACTCTCCCGAGTGCAGCTTGGAGCGTTTCCAAATCCAGTCAAACGAGGTCACTCTTTCCCCCGCCTCAGCCGCCATACTGAGCGCGCATGAACCCGATGAACCCAACCGACTGCTGCAGAACAGACTGATTGTAGCTACACACCCCTGCTGAACCCGTTCCAGCTCACCTCAACCTACACTCTACTATATATACACATCCTACTTTCACTATGCAATAATGAGCAATTCCCAACAGAAAAGAAGAACTCCTAAAATTGGCCATAACTGCATGCATACCAATTTCATGCAGTGCCGTGCAAAAAAAGGAGAGGTTTGTGATCAAATGACTGAAATGCATTAATCATTTCACATGCTCTTTATGCATGCAGATACATTGTAAAACAGACCTCTTTGAAATGCATGATGCTGAAATAAGTATAAAAGCAAAAGAGACACGTCTCCGTCGATGCCCGTATGCATGACTTCATCTTAGTGTCTAAATTTAGGACTGTGCCATGCATGCAACTGCTCTGGAGCTCCCTAGACAGTCCTGGTCTATCACACAGATACGTGGTATTTCTGCTCCGAGGACGCAGCATTCTGCTGAATGAGGTGGAAATGGTGAGGATAAAAGACACTTTGTCCTAACATGAACTGAGAAATAAGACTGGCATGGAGAGGCTGCAAATGCAAATGCTATCTGGCTTTTTCAAACCCCCTGAACATGCTGATGATACTGAAAACAGGTTAAACCCCACACGTTAGTTCAGATGCAAGTTTCCTACAGTCACATCAATAACCCAGATAATGCTTTAAAGCTGGATTATTGTGTGTGTGTGTGTGTATGTGTGGGTGGGTGGCAGACTGGGGAGAATACAGTCAGTCTGTGTCTGGGTAAAATAGTACATTCAGTTCTTGCAGTGGGCTGCTGCTCTTTTACTGTCTTCAGCACGTTTCTGTCGTTTATTAATCTGAATCTAGTAACGTTAGGTGAAGTATAGACTTTCCTGTTCAACAGCAGACAGAACAAAGGCGCTGAGACATCAGCACATCTACAGAGGCACTTTCGTTATTCCTGTTTTATGCTTGTATTCCCATCTGTCAGGCTTTTTGTGTGCTGGATACAGTTTTGAATTACGAAAAACACAATTCACGAGTTATCTTCAGAAGAATAGCTGACTAACGTTAGTGTCGACTCAACTAACGTCAACGTGGGTTTTTTTTTTACTTTCGGCGAATGTGTGAAGGTTTACTTACACATAAAGTCTTTGTTCTTGTCCTTTCGCTGTAAAGTTGCTGCTGGAAAAGGCGTTCGTGGACGAAAGAGGACCCGAGCGGCAGCCTTGCGGGGCTCGGACACCCCATACAAGGCTGCGGGACTGGGGCGTCAGGATCTCAGCCGCTTCCACTGGCTGACTGCATGTAATTCAACAGAGAGCTAATTTGGACCGTGCTGGACCGGGGCCAAGCCCCCCATTCCGACTCTGCACTGCAGTTGGGTTCAGAAGAACCGACGATTACCCGACGGTGGGCGGGATCTGCGAGTCTCCGCCCCCTCTGCGTGCGGCACGGCGCCATTGGGCGGTTAAAATATGGCAAGCCGATTAGCATTTAATCTATAAAACGTACTAGTGCCTATTTTCTTGCTACTAGTCCTTATTTTTTAGCTACTACTAGTATTTATTCCGTTAGGTGCTAGTGAAGGGAGAAACGAACCATTTCGAAGCTTCGAATCAATTGAACCAATTGCTTTGCAAAATGATTCACTGTTTCGAAGCACTCGAAACACCAAACTCTGGTGACGCCTGCTGGTCAAAACTGTAAATGCAACAAAAACTCAGGCCAAAACATGCATAAAAACAGCTTTTACAAACCCAATGCAAATGCTTTCTTGAAAGTATAATATATTAAATGCAATCAGAATAATAAAATACCATTTAAAATGAAGTGTCTGTATAATATGCGTCTTTAAAATAATAATTATTAATTTGCAAGGGCTTGTTTTGTTTGTTTTATGGAGAGCTTGTCTAAACAGGCCAGTAAGAGACTATTAACTACTACTCATCCTTTTAATTACACAAATGTCTCATTAAAAATGTCTACAAATTGATCATACTGTTCCGAGATCGTATAAAAACCATAGAGGATGATTCAGTGGTTTGCCGCTGGGGGGGCGATCTCAGTGAACTTGCATGGTTCACGGGTTCACAGAGATCGCCCCCCTAAGGTGAACTATTGAAATTTTGATACGTTTCGAAACAGTTATGACGTAACAAAGCCTCATTTACTGAAATCACGTGACTTTGGCATTTTGATACGTGCTCCGAACCAGTTTCAAAACAAATGATTCGCAAAGGTTTCGAAGCTTCAAGAAACAATGTTTCAAAAGCGGCCATCACTATTAGGTACTAGTACTTATTTGTTGGCTACTAGTGCTTATTATTTAGCAACTAGTACCTTTCTAAGTTATACTAGTAGTTATTCATTATCATTAGATACTAGTTATTATTTATTAGATACTGGTAGTCATTCATCAGATTCAAGTACCAATTAAATAGACACTAGAACTTATTCATTAGACACTAGTAGGGCTGTCAAAATGGCTGATAGACTAAATTCTAATTTAGTACTTAAATATTATCAAAATTCGAATTATATTCAAATTTAAAATGCATAATTTCAGTTAGGGTGAAGAAAAGCTTTTGGATTCTCTCCTGAGGCCACAAGATGGCGCATCGAGCAAAATATTACTAATGCACTATCTATCTAAAAAATCTAAAAAAGACTATCTGTGAAAAAAGTGCATAATGTTTCAAATAATGTTTATAAACCAATTATAAATAAGTTGCTTAAACAACTATAAACAAAACAGCATCATGTATTTTAGGGGCTAAATATCACATTCTTGTGGTTGCTTAAACCTGCGGACATGAAAAACAACCCGCGGAAACAGTATTAGAGTAGCCCAATTCCGCGGGAAAACCGTGGACTTGGCAACACTGGTTCTCTGTGAACGGCTTGGTTTCAGTTTTGACGTAAACAACATTTCCGCATTGATGTTCTCTTTTGCCGCAATATTTGTAATTAACGCAGCAGCGCCACATCTAGTGGCTTCAACTGGATAGGCTAAGAAAAACCACACTTTTAGCTACCAAATTTCCTACACTGAGCGTAATATAAAAGATACAAATAAGTATTTTTTTATAAATCCATACAACATATGAAGCAGTTAAACTAACTCATCCCAAACTGAACAATACTATCCTTAAACCAGCCCCATAATCTAGTGAAATGTAATTTGCTACATTAAATAATTTAGTTCAGGCAAGAATAAAAAAAAAGAGTAAATTAAATATTAGTACTATATTTAAGCTTGTAAAATTTAAAGTTTGAACTTATAAGTATATTTTACTTGGAATTGTTTGTTATTTTTTACAAAGATTGTTTAAGTAAATATCAAAGTCGTGATCCCGTTGTTCCCATCATGCACCTGGGCATGAATAATTAATGAGGTAAAATATTTAGCTGTTTTCGAGATGCATTTACACTGTTTTATGGTTGCTTTTGTTGTTAGGTTAAGTAACGTGCTGTTTTGTGACATCTGGAGTTCATTTATTACTCAAAATGACCCATTTATATTCAAACACTATTCACTGATTGTCACCGTCATTGTGTATAGTGTGCCAAGTATTCAGGTCTATGTATTCATTCAGTTTATAAATATAATAATTTAATTTAATAATTTATGCATTTAGCAGACGCTTTTATCCAATGCGACTTACAGTGCATTCAGGCTGTACATTTTATACAAAATATATTGAGTAAACATAATACTCTAAAAAGAATAATGGGCTGTCTACTTGCTTAAGTTATGGCAGGATTGGCATACCATATTGTAAGTGAATCACATGCTTTATTGGCATTGTTTTTTCAGTGCTATGTTGTTTGAGTAAAGTTTACAAACTGTGACTGAGTGAAATGTACTTGAGTATTGCAGGGTGAACTTAAAATAATTAAGTAGAAATTACTCATCAAACTCTTAACTGGCCATGTTAAAATTACTTATTTCCTTTGCTAATTTTACATAACTTAGTTAAGTAGATTTTACTTAATTCCATACTTAAATTTTACTTAAAAAATATGCATGCAAAAACTTGCAAAATAAAAATTAAGTAAATTTGACTTCTTGTTTTTTTCAGTGATGGACTCTCGGATCACCAGCTGCCAAATGATTCTCGAAGCCGAAGTCGAAAAACTGTCGATTCTTGAGGTAGAAAGCGTTGATCCCCTTTGGGTTGAAGTAGCGGTTTGGGCGTTTGAGAAGCTCTTCCAGTTGGTTTCCTTCAGGTATTCTCCACACTCAAAAAAAATCCTGGGTTATTTTCTTAACCCAAATGCTGGGTTGAGCCTTTTTGGGTCATTTTTT